ACACCGGGTCGTGTCTCACGATGAAGGTTAGCCGGAATATTCTGTACGTTTACTCAACCGCACAAAAAGAAATAAAACTCCTAAACATACTAATTCAGATATTTGATTGGTTTTAATTATCAACTACTGCAAAAATTTAAATAAAGCAATAAAAATATCAAAGCAATAACAAAGAAAAAATAGGATTTAAGGAGCAAGGGAGTCGGGGATATCCATTTTGGTTCGACATTGCAATTATCAAGCAATAGATTGTTCGGTTAAGTGATTTAAATAACCGGCACGTTCAAACACTCATTCTCAATAACTTTTTGTAACAAGAGAACAAACTTGAACGACAAGTTAACAAGTCATTTAACACCTAGGCAATACAATTACGAACAAGCCTAGTTTATACGAGCCTATTTCGACCGACTCCTCCCCTTTCGGTTCTAAGAGTCGATTAAAAGAGACTAGAGGGTTGTTAATCCACTAACCCGTTTAAAATTACCAACAACATGCATGAATTTATCGAGTTCAATTGAAACAATTGGAAATTGAAGTGTCACCCTTCAATAATTCTCAAAGCTCATGAACGATGATTGAAAACTCTAGAAAAAGCTTAACTCGTACAAATTGAACAATCACAAACATGATAATTGCAAGCGAATTTAAAACATCAATTCCCTATTCCCTAGAATTTAGCCACTCATGATCGATTCAACATCAAAATCATCAATAATCCAAGCCATCATAATCGTAAATTAAACGAAAAGAAAGCTTACGACTAATATCCAATGTCGAAAACGAGAGAAAATCGAATCCAAAAGCGAGAAAAGGAGTTTTCTACTCTCCAAATCCAATCCCAAGTGAAAAACTAAGAGAGAAATATGTTTTCTCTCAAAAAAAGTAAAAAAACGAAGTCAAGAGACCCAAAATATGCCCTAGGCTCGATCTATTAAGCTTCCAATTCGAAAATCCGCAGAAATCGCGCCTGTTACAAAACAGACCTTAGCGCCGCTAAGGGGTTAGGGGCGCTAAGCCTTCTTAGCTGTTAGCCTCTGTCCCGTTAAACTTCCAAAACGCCTTTATCCACACAGGCCTTAGCGGCGCTAAGGCCTTATGGCCGCTAAGGCCCCCGGCAGCTTTGCATGACTTCACGGTTTGGGATCGTTAGGGCTCGTCTGGTATCGGAATTCAATTCCGCTTTTTCCTATGCGTCGCTAACGAGCCCCTCTTTCTAATGGTGTCAGCTTTTCCAAAAGATTCTCGAAAACCTGTTCTGCCGGGGTCTCCAATCTACACACCAAAAACGAAAAGAGAATAGAAAAAAACCGAAAAACAAACAGAAAATACCGCAACACTCAAATGAACGCAAAACACATAATAAATGACAAAAAGATCCTAAAACCACCTAAATGACTCAATACGGGGGAAAAAAGAACGGCAAAAAGACAACGAAAAACCCAACAAAAATGGGACAAACAACTCCCCCACACTAAAACTTTTGTTCGTCCCGAACAAAGAGAAAATAAAAGACGCAAAGATCAAGCATGGATAGCGATGACAAAAAAGAAAGGTCTCAAACTACTCAATTAAATCGAAAAGCATTCAAATGGCCACAAACCACGTGCTTCAACTACATACTCAGTTAAAGCAATTTGAACGACAAATCTCTCGACAATGGAATATAGGGATGAGCCTCACTATATTTCTTTCATGAATATAACGAGGTACGCTCCACTTGATCGAAATTCAAGTTTCACTGAGCCTTGCCTATTGTCTAATTCCTACTATAAAATAATCTAACTCATGAACTAGCAGATCAAAAGGACTTCGCGGGTTGTAGTGTAGGCTCAAGGTAAAAAGAGGAATCTAAAATTGTCAAACGGCTATAATAAATAATCTGAAAGAGTCATGCCACTCAACATAATCAACATATAACTACTTCCTTCACCAAAAGTCTCCATACACCACACGCATAAGCTCAAAACATAGTGCACTACACACACTTGATCGTTTTATTTTTTTTATTCTTTTGTTTTCTCTTTTTTTTTTTCTTTTCTTTTATTATTCTCTTTTTTTAATTGGAGTTTGTTTTTCCAGACAAGGTCGAACTTTAAGGACAACGTTCTCTTGGTTTAGACTTTGGATATTACCCAAGTGTCCAAGAGTAGTTTCCATTACTCATTACTCGTCCATTCGCATGAACAAGTAAGAGGAGTAGAATCCTCTTAGTTCGTCTTTCGAGCTCCCTTTTTATTTATTTATTTATTTATTTATTTATTTATTTTTATTTTTTTTTTTTTTTTTTTTT